AGAGTGTGGAAATGAAAATGTGGACACAGCTGACCTGAATCAAGCAAAGCAGAGAAACAAGCTCAAAATGTTCATCTTCCTGGATAGGAAATCTATGAAGAAGCTCCTGGGAAATGGAGAACAGGAACTACATTTGAGGCACTAGATCCTGAAGAAATTATAGGCTTGTAGTCATCCAAGTGAAATTTTCACAAGTGTCTCAGAGGTTTTGGAGCTGAAATCTCATTTTCCATGAGCTTCAAATGCCTAAAATTTCCATGAGCTTCAAAACTATGGCTTATTCTCGCTTAACTGTTTTTGAATGTTAACCATAACCATGGATCAATTACATCGGTGGCAGTATGAATACAACTAGCAACACAACAGTTGGATGGGCAATGAGGAAGATCCTCTAAAGAACACAAGGAACAAGTGATCAGAAAGGAGGAGAACCAGTAGTATAACTAAGGGAGAGTAGGAGAGGGGTGACCAGGGCAGCATCCCCAGGCACCCCCTTTCTGGGGGGAGGTGGAGCAAAACCAGCCATTACTGTAGCGGTGTTTGATCACATTGCTGCAGTCAGCACAGCAGGAGCAGGCACTGCCCCAGGCACCACACAGCTGTCCCAGTCACAGAGCTGTATGGCTATGCCTCTGCCCAAAAGCCAAGAGAGAACCACATTTCAAGAAGAGCCTAATCAACTATATCAAGAGTCAGGAAGAAGAGGTCACTAGAGACTCTGGTGGGAGCAGTTTCAGTTAGTGTCTAGTGGGTTTTTTCAAGATAGGAGAGATAGGAAGCATGTTTGTTGAGAGGAAAAGCCTGGGAAGAGTGAGATTGTGAAGTGCAAAGGTGGGGATGAGAGTCCACATGAGCGAAACTGGAAGTGGAATAGGAAGAGATCAATAGGGCACAGTTTAGAGAAGAACTAATGAGAAACACCTCTGCTCGTGAGAAGGGAGAAGGAGAGGCTTGTAAAGGGGAAAGACTGTGCGACACAAACACATTCATTAGTATGACCCACTGCCGGGGAGAACTTCCTCTTCATGGAGGGTCTTTTTGGCTCTTGAAGAATCTATTCCTGCTTTCTCAGGCCCTGCAGGAATGTCTGGAAGAAAAGAAAAGCTCTGAAAGTTCATGGAAAATGAAAGTCTTAACAAAACAACGGGCCAGATACCCAAGTCCTTTACCAACTGAAAAGCTTCCAGGCTTGCTTTCCTTCTTTCCCACAGCAAGCCCCAGCAAGCCCCTACCACTCTCTATTAGGTGTCCATGTTTTGTTTTGTTTTGTTTTGTTTTGTTTTGTTTTGGGGTTTTTTTAGAGACTCTGTTTTTCATGATGTGATTGCAAACCACTCGAGCCTAGCAGCGGAGGGGACCTCACTTGACTTGGCATACTTTCTCCTCTCCCACAGGGTCCTGGCATGGTGTATTTTTGTTCCCATTTGTCAAAGAATGAGAGGGGGAAAAAATAGACCAAGGGCCAACATCTCAGCTGTTGCAATTCCACTTGCTTCAGCATAGAAACAGCAGCAGAGAATTTGGCCCCAGCTGTATGGAGCTCCCAGTGCACAGGCCTGTGTGTCAGAGGACACATCTGCCTGTGTGGTCACTGCCATGCATGTCTTAGACTTCGCCTTGCAGCTTTGACTGGGAAAAGACAGTCTGGGGCACAAAGCTCAGCCAATGAGCAAAGCAGGAGTAAAAGGATTTTGCCTATTGGAGCTAAAGGGGCTGGGAGCAAAAGGGACAGCAGACTGCAAGCTCTTTGGGGCAAGGACTGTCATGTACTGTATGAACGTACAGAACCTATTACAGTAGGGCCCTGACCTGGATGACCTGCTACCACAATATTCATAAATTAAAATAAAATGAAATTAACATGTTAAGGGTCAAAATGGAGTAAGTATTCCTATGGGATGGAAAGGATGGAAGGTGAACGTAGTAGCTTAGCAATGTCCAGGGAGAGGAAGGAGGCTGCAGTGCATGGTGGCTTGGAGAAATAACATCTTTACCTACATTAATGTTTTGTTCGTGTTTTTTGCTTGTATGTTTTCCTTGTCTGCTTCGATTGCAAGGGCAGGTTCCATGTTTTCTGCTGGCTTTGTACAGCAGCTTGAACAGTGGGACTGTCACCCTGAGCAGGGCCATTGAACACAACACAAATAGAAACACACAACATAAATATTGAATAATAATAACTGAAACACAGAGGCTCACATTACTCATGATTTGATTACAGCTTTACATAGGTAATGAGTTGATTTCTCACAGTGGATGGCTCTTTGAACTAGCAGGCAAAGGCAAAGAGGAGTTCAGACTAGCAATAAGGTGCCATTTTTAACAGTAATAAATCACTAGGATAGCTTATCTGGGAACAGAGTGGATTCTCCAGGATTTTGGCATCTTTAAAGTAAGGCAGACTGGTTTCTCTAAGGCTATGCCATAGCTGAGCCAGACACAATGGGCTTGCTGCAGGAACTCCTTGGTGAGATGTTATAGACAATCAGCCTCCATGACCACAATAGTTCTTCAGGCCCTAAGTTTATTCTGTTCTGTACTTTATACTTTATTTCCAGCACTGTTTTCCATGTATTGATGTTTATTGCTCTTTGTTGTTTACTATGACTTTGTTCTGATATTACAACAGTTTGAAGAGCCCAGGTATCTGGCAAGTTCAAGGATCATAGTCACTGGTTCAGGGTGTCAAGGCCAAGTATGAGGCAAGGAGAAAGTTCAGGAGTTATAGGAATAAGCAACACTGAGCAGACTCCTTGCAAGGAGCTTAGATATCTGAGCAGCTTTCTACTTTCTGGATTGTGTGAATGAGGATGAACCTTTTTACTGTAGGTAGGAAGCAAATTCTCCCAGGTAGTCAGCTCGCACTTTGCATGTGAGGGTGAATCATCATCACCAAAATTGCCAAAAGGTCTAATCAAGACTGATGTCATACTCGGCTGGTTGCTGCATAAGCACTTTGTGAGAGACAGTCCCTTGCAATCTACATACACAAGAGACAAATGAAGGGAGGGGAAATAGAGGCACAGAGATACCCTGACTAAGGCATCTCAGAAGGGTGTGGGAGACAACAAAACCCATTGGCAATATCCAAAAGTTTAAATCAACAGGCAATTAGTACCACACCTTGGGACTTCCTGATGTTTGTTTAGGTAGCCATACTTCTGGGAAGAGGGGTGAAGAGGGTTGTATCAGAAGGTACATTGAGGGGCACTGTTTGATGGATGTGATGAGTTTCAGGTGATTATATCAGTCCTTCTCTAGCTCTTTCAGTATATGGGGCAATTTGTAAAGGACAATATTCTCAGTATGGACCCCTTTCTCTTCTAAAGTCCTGTTACAAGGTTCTCGCAATGTTTTATGCCATGGGACTGCCAAGAATGTCTTCAGGCCACTTGAGCAGTCATAGTACACAGAGTGAGAAATACTGGATTGCAGGTTTCCTGTAAACACATGAATCTTGTCCGTCTGCCAAGTACAGCTGACTGACTAATTCAAGCTCTGTGGTCCACCCAGTGCTTGGCCTTGCTATTGAGACAGCTAATAAGGAGCTGGTAGGCTTGTGTCTTTATAGTGTTTTTCACATAGACTGCCCATCTGCCACTGAAC